TCGATTCGTGACCCACCGGCGTACCGGTAGTCGTAAACGTTTACGGACGCTCGTAAACCGCACCTGCATCCAGTATTTCATTTTTCTACCTTCCCCTCTTCTTCTTTCGTGTCGTTTGAATATAAAAATATCCTTATTTTTCACCATTCGCTAATTGGCAAAAATTCTGCCGCGCAATGATCGGCCGATTTCCCGTCCATTTCAATCATTGCGTATTTACGCAACATCGTAAGAGGAAATCGTTAAACGGTTGCACCGCGTTGAAACGCGAAAACACTTCCGATCGCTCGTCGCTTTTCATTCATTACTCGTGCAATGTGTCATGTTTTTAAATATATAATATTATCATCGATATTACGAAGCGAGTATCGGAATAATTTCTGGCAAAAGTTTGGTACAAACTGTAAGAAACTAATGGAAATTGATGATTAAAAGCAATATTTATTATCTTGTTGCGAAGTGAATGTCAATTTTAAATTTAAATTAAATATCTATTAGAGAGTTAATAGCACAGCTCGTGATTGAATACGCGATTATTTATAATTATTAATTATCAAGGAAATAAATAACAAATTTAAATACTTGGACTTTTCTCTCCCTTGTTGTCGACGAAATTCTCTCATATTTTCATCAAAAATCAATAACAGAGAGACGTATATTTAGACGTGTACAGCCAAATCAATATAAATAATTTTAAATTAAATAATAATAATCGATATCCCATCGAGTTCAAAATCCACGCGTTTCTCTCTCTTTCTCTCTGTAGAGAATCCTGCATATCCGATCGAACGATCTTAAATTAAACCAAGCGACGAAAACAATTTTTCAGCTTCTAGCGAGGCCAGCATCCACTGAAAATTCGTGACATCGAGAAAATTATTTATTACATTCCACGCGTCGTTTATCACTCGATAATACCCGCTTGAATACCCGCTTGTCCCCATTCTGGCCCACCTTCTCCTAGGTATTTACGCTCGACACGCACGCATACGTGTCCATGTGCAACGACACACGCTCGATCCCCATACACAACCGCGTGAACACACTCTTATGCGCCACATAACTCCGTTTAACGTTAGAAAAAAGAAAAAAGCGGAGAAGCTTTATCGAGACGAATCGTACACCGATATAATACGACTTGCGTTGCGCGCTCTTTTTCGCATAACGCGGACACAATCGCGGATTAACGGCGGATTCGGTGTTGGAAAAGGCGCGTTTCCGTGTTTGCGACAGTTTGTCCATCTAGTTACTACTTAACGCGCGAAAGTAGCGGGTGAATAGCGGACATTCCATCGAAGCGGGCACATCGAAGGGGCCCGGTACGCGTTACACCACGCTCTATCTCCATCCTCGTTCCACCCTGTGTGACCGATTTCACCGCGGCGGAGAGAGAGAGAGAGAGAGAGAGAAAATCGGCGCATCAGATTTGTCAAACACGTGTATCGCGCGAGATTACACGAGTAGAAGTGAATCGTCGTGTCTAACCACCATAATACCACTACCAATAATAATCGCGCGAGAAAGATAAATATTACATCGAATGTCGAACCGTACGTTCGTCGATTCGATCAAGTGACAAGAGAATCGAAGCAACGAATAGTTAAAAAAAAAAGAAAAAAAGTTTGAGCGAGCAAGGCCAGTCCTCCCTCCTTCTCTCCCTCCATCGACGAGAATATTATACTGTAGATCGTAGCGAATACTCACGTTCTCATGCTTCCATGTCCACCAGCTTGGTCCACGAGATACCTCGACACTCGTCCCGATGAGGCTCGAAGAACATCTCTCTCTCTTCTCTCTCTCTCTCTTCTCTCTTCACGAGCACCGATTTACTTTCCACGCCTACTATCAGGGATCAAAGAGACACTTGGAGAATAATCGCGCACGGTATCACGCATCCGTCGTACTCCGCTCGTCGCGCCGTACCAAGCATTGAAATCACCAGGTGCCGATGATCACCTCGTGTCCGCGCGCGCACCGTGTCCTCCGCCTCGAACGAACGGACAAAGAGGAAGAAATTCCAGGAACCAGATCCACCTGGCAGGTAGCCGCGAACGTATATCCTTGCTTCACGGATATCTAACCGAGTGAAACGGAGGCGATGAAAGGCGAGGATCGACGCTGGTCGTGAACGGCTGGTCTCGTCGTGTTCACGATGCGCGCAGAACGATGCCCGTGTAACAACGTATCGAGCTTGGCGCGCGTACGAGAACGTTTTCTGGCACGGTTTTCGTGTGTCCGCCACCTGGAATGAGGTCTCGCCACCAACCGAGGCGGCCACGCGAGAGGTCGAACCTGAATATCGCCACCTGCTTCCTTCGACGTTCCAGGAAGATCTGAGGTGAGAGGGACGGCCATTTTGAGGGACCGTAGCGGCTCTCAGGTGGCGCTATGGTTGGAGAACCGTCGCTGTGCCGGAGTGGGTATCACACTCTTTCACGCGCGCTCACCTGGCGAGGTTCTGTCTTTGTCACCTGTGTGACGATGCACGCATATGATTGTCGAGATGTTGCGTCGATAGAAATCTTTTATATGTACATGTGTATATAAATATAAATATATATATATATATTTTCTTGAATTGTTGTGTCTTTTATTTCTTCTTTTTTTCTTTTTTTTTTTTGTAAACATTTTCAGTAGATCGATTTTTCGAACAGAACCGGATTTCTCACTGGATTCAACTTGGAACGCGGCCCCCAATTCACTACTTTCGTTCGAGAGACTGATCGATACGCGATGGGGAAAAAAGAAAGCGGAGAACCAGTCTCTTTACCGAGATTGGTGGCCACCGTTTTAGGATATTCTTCGTGATCACTTTTATAAACGTTACTGAGAATGCGTGTCCCTCGACGTGTCGTGCGCGCCATTCGATTTATTGCGACTCTAATGTTTAATTACCGGTGACGCGAAATCGAGATTCTTCTGTGCTCGAACAACGTCATTTTTTGCCTACTTTTTTATGGCCAACTTTCACTGACGCATTGGGAACACGGCCTGTTGGAATGTTAAACTTGAGTCGAGTTAAACGACTGTTAATCTCTCGACGACAATGGGTGGGTTGCGCACCGTCGACAGGTGTGTCACCGATCAAACAATGCTACTCGCGATATTATAGGACACTCGGCGAACGAATTGAGCTTTGTTCGAATAATACGAGGAAGCGTATATAAGATAAAACGGTTCTTAAGAACCGCAATACGAACGATGATCGTCTCGATCGTTTTGTTCCTTCAAATCTGCCATTTCGAATCTTTAATTGGCTCTCCCCCTCCCCCCAAAAAAACGAATAATAATTGTTCGATAAGAGGAGAAACGCGAGAACGATGATCCTCGATCGTTCGATCTTAACTTTTTTGTTCCATCTTAAATTTACCAAATCTTTAATCACTTTCCCTTCCCTCGTGAGAAACGAAGGCTACCCCGTATAAAAAGTTCCCCTTGATGAATCTCTTACGGTCATAAAGGCGAATCATTAAACTTCCATTAACCAATTCCGACAACCGCTTATGGCCGTTTTCACCTGGCCACCTCGATATCTCGAATGAGATCATTTGGGAGATCAAGTGGGAGAGTTCATAGATATCTTTTTCGTCTGAATGAAAAGGAGAATGTATGTGAATGGCGAATTCGATAAATTATTTAAACGAATTGTTAAAGGCGAGATCTCTCTTTCTTGGCGTGGCTCGGGTCCCAAAGTGACGTGGCGAGCAGTCTCGATTCAGTAAATCGCTCGTAGACCTGTTTCTCTCGTCGTTCTTACGGATTAAAATGGGAGAAGGTGAAAAAGAGAAGAAAAATGGAAGAGGGCGATGGAAATGGAGATAGAGAGGATGAAAAGCTTTCGCGGAGCGTTTCAAAGCCCACGCGAGTTCGAACAGTTTCTACGCACGTGGGAAGTAAGGTATAAGCGATGATGCAATCGTGGGTATAATATAGATGCAAATTTGAACCGGTTAACATGTGATTATACTTTACCGTAGTTAGTTTTTACGACTGTGTTTTAACTCGAATGTCTCATCTTGTTCTTGTTCCCTTGTTTGTGACAGAAGAATCGCCACAGTTGGATCGTGTGCAGAAATCTTTCCTTTTTAATATTTCTTTTCGAAAAGTAATCGTTTGGATTTGGAATTTTTAATCTTATCAATTATTTAAATTTTTTATCTTTTTGCAAGGAACGATACGAAGCCGATAAATTACATATAAAATTCAAACATCGTTTCGAGAACTTTATTTACGTAGACAACACGCGATATCAATATTGAATTCAAATGCGTTCCGCTTCTTCTAATTAAATCATTGTTTTAAATACGATTGCATTATCGTTATCGGACAAACAATGCCCAGAATTTATTCGTTGCATTTATCGTTGCAAATGAACGAAGGGGACTTTCTTTCATCGATTCATTATGAATATTGTGAATGGTTTATAAATTGAAACGAAGTAACAGAATCAATTTACAAGGATAATCACTCTTAATAAACGGGAAACGAAAATGCAATCAGCGAAATGCCGTTTCAAAGTAGATTCAAATTTATCAGTCGTATAAATTTTTCGTTAATTTCCTGCCTGCGTCACCGTCCTAAAATCGTTTAAATATAATATAAAATTAATTTCCCCTACCAATATTTTTCGCCCATCGATATTGCGCATTCATCTGATTACACCAATTAAATAAAATAAAATCTACAATTGAATCAATCAACTAATCTTTAACGATCAATTTTTCACCACTCGTTTTGCCAAGTATCACTCATAAAACTTTCTACTCATAAAACGTGACGTATTAAAACGAAGAATTATGCAAAAACGAAAAAGCCATAAATCAACCACAATACCAAACAATGACAAAAAACCTACGTACACCGTTCCACCCTGAAAAAGAAAAAAGAAAATTTCTGCCCCAATTTCGTCCCGAGGTTTCGTCGGAATGTCGACGGCCACGGGTGGAAGAGGTCCCAAGAGATCCCTTCCTTCCCTCGTACAATGTCTCTGTTGAATAAAAGAACGCACCGTTTTTCCCGTTCTCGAGGCGGGTGCCAGCTCTCTAAACGTTTCTAAACGCGCGCGGCGTCGCGATATATTTACGCGAACGGGGAGACTTCGGTGGATTCGGTGGCAACGGTCCAGCAGCCGTGTTACGGAAATAGATTTCGGCTGGTGGCGATGCAACAGCTCTCCTTGTGGCCGGAGGCAGCCCAGTACCGTGGCGACCAGTTCCCGAGGAAAACCGGAGAAATCGACTCCGCGAGGTCCCACATGAATGTGAGTGCGATCTTCCCTTTCACGAGTGCCATTATCCGCCGCGCGTAGCACGCGCCCTCCTCTCCCCCCTCCCCCTCCCCCTCCCTCCCCGATCCGTCCAACGCGCGCGTCCTTTGTTCTTCCTCTCCTCGTCCTCTCCTCCTCCTGCGCTCCTCTTGCGTGTGTGCATCGATAACGCGGTGCGGATCTGGAAAAAGTTTCCACGCTTCTCCCTCTTTCTCTTTTCGAGATTCACGCGCGAGTGACTGGAAGAAAGGTTCTTTCTTTGTTTTTTTGAACTATTATCGGGGGTGTTGATGATATTTGTGGTACGAGTTGCGGTTCGATGGACAAAAATTGGCGTGGAAAAAAAATATCGGATCGAGGCTTATTCGTTGAGTTACGAGGTTTAAATTGGATAAAGACGTAGATAGAATGACGGGAGGGGAGAGAGAGAGAGAGAGAGAGAGAGAGAGAGAGAGGATCTT